CGTCTCGGCATATCTTGTTTATTTCATATGGCGGTACCCTGCGCTTCGAAGAAAATGGTGTCAGGTGTTATTTCCTCGGACGGCCGAACGACGAACGACAAGGGCCCACGGTCGACGCCTCGATTTTTTGGCAGTGAAACGTCGACTGCGGAACGAACGCGTCGAATAAACGATAATCCGCGAACGCGTCGTATAAACGATTATCTGCGAACGCGTCTCAGTCATCTTTCGTAATATCCACAAGTGTTTCGGATTATCAGTGATTAATTAAGTGATCAGTGTTTGGTGACAGTACAGTAAAAGATCAGCTGTACGTTGTACGAGGTCAGTGTCCTTCGACATCGTGAGCCACAATTTCAGCCAGCAAATACATCCTCAACTAAATGGGTGAGTTTCTTACTGATAATATTTTTCATATCTCTCTAATAAACAAATCCTTTACGTCCCTTATTTATTATTAAATCAGCTTTGCAAATCATTCGTTAATCTTCACTGTACACCTCGCGTAAAAATTTCATATGGTACACACGTGGTGTCATACACCCCAGAAAATTAAAACGACTGTCACGGTTAAACTTCATATTATTTCGGGTCCGAAAAATTAGTAAATATTCTTCAGACGTTCTAAAGTAAAGGTGAACAGCGTTTTTCTTAAAAATATCACTGTTATGTAGTAAAAAAAATCCGGAAAGTTCTCGCTTCGTGACTTGTTCAATACTTCGAACGCGGCTCGAGTCCGTCCCGACCTTCTGTCAAAGCCTGGTGCTGCGGACTCTCTCTCTCTTTCTCTCTCTTTCTCTCTCTCTCTCTCTCTCGCACCGTCACCTCTCATTGGCCAGTGTTTTTTGTTAATAACTCATAAACAAAGCCGCAGATTGCATTTTTGCAAAGGAAAAAGTTACTTCAAATGACCTCAGCTGCCCCTCATTTTCGGCTGTTAAAATAATTGTGGAACACCCTGTATAATAAATAGACTATGTGTCTTTCTGCAAAATAGAATATTTCTGCTGTCAATTGGAAGAATCATTTGCCTTTTCTTATTTATATTGTCTTTTACATAAATTCCTGATTTCAGATTAATTGAAAGTTCCGAATGGCTACAACAACTTCAAAATTTAATGCAGTTGTCCGGTGCCGTTATTGACTTGATGGACGTACAAGGTTCATCCGTAGCCGTTTGTTTAGAACAGGGTTGGGACACCACAACAACAGTTTGTTCTGTAGCACAAGTGTGTCTTGATCCACATTACAGAACCATCGAGGGATTTCGAACTTTGATCGAAAAAGAATGGCTCGGATTTGGTCACAGATTCGGGCACAGAAGCAACCTAGCAGCAAATTCTCAAACTACCAATTTTACACCTACTTTCTTGCAGTTTCTTGACATAGTGCACCAAATTCAAAAACAATTTCCATTAGCGTTCGAGTTCAATGAGTTCTATTTGAAATTTTTGGCATATCACTCGGTTTCCTGTCGTTTTCGAACATTTCTGCTGGATTGTGAATTTGATAGAGTAGAATGTGGCATTACTGCTGTGGAAGATAAAAGAGGGTCGCTGACGAGTCATCACAAGGGAGTGGATACCGGGAGCGACGATGAAACCATTTATCCAGGCGGTAGATTGGCAGGGACGAATACAGGATGTAATCTTGGTCAAAGTATATTTGATTACATCGACAAACAACATGCAAGATGTCCCTTATTTTATAACTTTATGTACACGCCTAATACGGAGCATACGGTATTAAGACCCGTGTCACACTTGCCGAGTCTTGATATTTGGCAGTACTATATAGAAGAAGAATTGGCTCATGGACCTGCGTACGACTTAGAAGTATTACAGCAAGATTCTCAGCAAGAAGAAGAAGCAGAGGCCGCTGACGGCGTTGTTAAAAGTAATCGTAAAGTGGTTACACAAGGGTAAGTTGAATTGTATTTAATTTGTTTCGTTACTACATTAATATTAATGGATTTATTTTCAGTTACGATGGTACAAGTACTATGATCCCCGATCAATTTTCCTATCTCTTGGAAGAAATTCATAAACTAGAAACAGAGTTAGGTCATTTACCTCAAAAATGGAAAGTTCTTTGGGACAAGCTTGAACTGCCAAACACAGATTCGCTTGCGGTTAGTAATCTATGCTAAATTATTCAAATAACACATATTTAAAATAAAATACTTGTTTCTGTTTTTTTAAAATATACAGCGCCATGCATCGTTTAGTACTACACTGGTCAGATATCATGGTCGATTGATTCATAAGCGTTCTACACTGGAATTACTCCTTCGAGGCAAACTCGCTGGCGGAAATAATTCTGGAAATGAAGGGTCCGTTTACGCACATCCTCATAGGTAATTATTTAGAGGGCGTTTCGATTACCAACAGACTATACAAAATCATTACAATTATTATATGTCCATAGATTCGAACGATTAGATTCAGCTACGCCAACTCATTGCGATGCTTGCTCTGGTGTTTTGTGGGGTCCTGTGAAGGCCGGCTTGCGATGCGTAGATTGCGGACATGTGTGTCATGACAAATGTGCTGATGCGGTACCAAAAAATTGCACAAAATATAAAACGGTCACTGACAATTTACAAACACACACACTTACAAGAAGTGGCGGAGATAACGGAAGCGTTAACTCGAGTATAACATTTTATATTACTCTATTCGGGGTTTAGTCTTTTCACATTTCAAGATTTGCGAAACAATTTACTTATAAATAAATCATTTATAGGTGTAGCAACGATACAAACTTCGTCACAACAATATTATGAACAGTTCTCTAGCAATGTTGCAGAAAATAGGACACACGAAGGATATCTTTATAAGCGAGGTGCTTTGCTTAAAGGTTGGAAGCAAAGATGGTTCGTATTAGATTCTATAAAACACCAGTTAAGATATTACGATGCAATGGAAGATTCTCATTGTAAAGGATACATAGGTATGTAAACAGGACAGGAGATAATACAAGATAATAAATAAAAGACGAGGAGTAATTGATAACTGAACAAAAATCTTATATTTATTTTACAGATTTAGCTGAAGTAGTGTCTGTAACCCCAGCTGCGCCAATGCCAGGACCACCAAAGAAAACTGACGATAAATCATTCTTCGATGTAAACATAACTAATTTTTATATTGTTTACTAGTTACTTGACATAACCTTAACATGTTAAGCGCGGAGCCGATTTTACTGGACTTTCCGTTGAGGCGGCAGGCCGGCATTATTTTTTAACCTTGATGAAAAGTTCGCTGTCAGTCGAAGAGGACTGACGCCGTCTGAACGGAAAGTTCATTGTCGTCGGACCCAGGGGACTGACGCCGCGCTTAACGTGTTAAACATGAAATACAATGAATTATTTTATTTGCAGCTTCGTACAAACAGGCGGACATATAATTTTTGTGCTGGTGACGCAGCAACTGCGCAAGAATGGATCGAAAAAGTTCAAGCATGCTTACAATAGCTTGATTATATCTCTAATTTAAAATGTGCAAGTGACTGATAGATTAAAACAGATTTTAATTTTGTTACATACTATTATATAGTCTAATAGTACGTATTATATAGACTGCAATAATTTTGCTTTAAATATTTCGGTCGTTGAACTGAGAACAGTATCATAAATTGAATGTGATGTACTCATATCTTTGACATAGCATTATTATATAAATGTATATTGTAATTATATAATTATGTTAAATTCGTATTATTTCAGCTGGGAGATGAAAGATCGCTACATACTCAAGTAAATGTTAAAAATCTTTTTTTATTTTGTTTAATTCGTTTTTAATTTTAAATAATTATATTATAAATTGTGAGTAAAAAAATGTGTTGAAATGA